TACCATACTTACAATACTGACAATACTTATTGCTTACATTGCTAACAATACTACTGTTTTCAAACATTATTACATTTCGTATGCTTCAAGTACACAGTTGCATCGGAAGAAACTTATTTAAGGATAGTTGGCGTTATTGAGGCAGGATAAGCTACGGATGAAAGACATAGAGAATATCAGGGGGCGTTGGGAATAGCGCCATGGTAGAAACGATAGTTTCTACGTGATGTCGTGTAGGAATGACCATTGTTTGGGCAGAACATTGTTTGCTTCTGCTTGTGCTTGTATGTTGTAAATTGTCTTTAGGTGTTTGAGAAATCCTTGCAATAGAGGTATAGCTTCTTTTGTTTTGCAGAGCCAGATATAGTGCCTGGCAATAAGAAAACAAAAGTTGATCTGGCGTTGAAGTTTAGAAGAGTCTGATCTCAGGCCTAGTGAAACAGTCATGTCTGCAGAGTAACTATCGGGAATAATTTGGCAAAGTTTTAATCGCGTTATGATGCTCTCCCAGAAGAGCGCCGTTTTGGGGCAGGACCAGAAAAGGTGTACGAGTTTTTCTGGTTCTTTTTTACAAAAGGAGCAGTTGGAGTTTTCTTTTACTCTTATCTTAGTTAAGAAAGCGTTTGTTGGTATTCTTCTGTGCAGCAATTTAAATTGAAATTCCCTGAGTTTTATGCTTTTTGTGATTTTATGAGCTAGCTGGTAGGTCGCACCCCACGTTATTTCGTTTTGACCTAAGTTGCAGTCTTGATTCCATTTTTGCTGGCTTGTAGTAGGGGGGGCACTTTTCTTTGTAATTAATTTGTCATACACCAACTTGCTTGCTTTTTGGGCTTTCATTAGTTTTGTCGAAAAGCTTTCGTAACTATTACCTTCTCAACAGAGTGTATTATGGGCAATTGGAAAATAGTCAATGCAATTTGAAATTTAGAGCCATTATTTCATTGGTTTATTATTATGTACTACGTTTGAAATGCGAGTGGGAATTTGCGTAAGGCGTAAACGCATAGTACGCATGCGTTCATTTTTGGCGGGAAAATTATTGCTTGCCCCGCGGTGTACTGGCAGGCCACTGGCGGGGAAAAAATGTTTATAAATTACAACGCGTTTTCGTTTCCTTGCCTATTGTGCTTTATTTTTTTCTTCGCTCAAATAAATGAGCACGCCGTTGGGGTTAAAAGAAACACTTGCTCCATTGCGGAGGAAAAAGATTTTTTGTTATCATGCAAGGAGAAGGCGATGACAGACCTCCTGGACAAATGCGTGACATCCGCTGGTGTAAGTGGACCCTTTTAACTTTAAACTATCACAATTTATATTTACTAATCAAATTGCTATCTCCGTATTATGAACTTACACTTTGAAAGTAAGTTTATGTATATAGAAGGCTTAGATAAGACATGCTCGTATAAATGGTCCAGTTCGCGTCTTATTTAAGAAACGTCTTATGTAAGACGCGTCTTATTTTTCCTTGTATTAATGGCCCTAATATGGTCTATTATCTAGTGAATCTTAGAAGTTACTCCAACTTGACAACTCAGCGTATCACCAATTTCTTTCTTCATCATAAAATTTCCGCAGCGGGAGATATAGTTCTGGACGTGGACGCCGAGACCGGCCGTGAGGTGCTAGTGTGGACAGCCGAAAGGGAAAGCAAAACGCGCAAAGGTCTCGAAGACGGTCATCAACGTCAATTCTGTCCTAAAGCGTTTGCCACCGGCACAAACAGATGCCCTGTTCTTTATTACAAGTTGTTTAAGGCCCGCCGTCCGCAGAAAGCTAACAGCCCAAAATTGCCATTCTATCTGGCAGTTAATCACTAAACCTGGCGCCAAAGCCAAGTTTGGTACAAGAGCTCACCACTCGGCAAGAACGAAATCGGAAAATCTGCGTCCACGGCGGCAAAAAATGCCGGTTTAGCAGCTCAAAACAAGAAGATATCCAATCATTCCGTCCGTAAAACGTCAATTTCCCGTCTGCTTGATGCTGGTGTGCCAGAAAATTTTGTGATGCAACTAAGTGGCCACAAAAATCTTCAAAGTTTGAGTTCATACAAATCAGTTTCCATCACACACTAGCGGCATATGTCCCATACGTTGAGCAGAGGATCGATGAGTAATAATGGCCAAAGGCCAAAGCTTTTTCGCAGGAGCAACAATCAGCACAATGAACAACTGTGTTTTTAATATCATTCCATCAAGCTCGGCAAAGCGCCCACGCATTGATGAACAGGAGTAGAGGCTGCTTTCCTTTCAAGTGCGGACTGCAGGATAGTGGATCTTTTCCTTTTTTGTACACCAACAGAGCTCTTAGTTTTGACGAAATTTTGAACTTTTCTTAACATAGCGCATTTGCATTTTGTTTTCACTTTCTCGGAAAACCTATGTTATGTGCTACTGTTTTCGTGAGCCAATAAAAACTTTCTTTTTGACAGCTGTCAAATGACCGTCAAATCGCGCGTCTGGTTTCCGGTCCCCCAAACAGGAAGAAGCCACATAATAAAGGAAATGTTTGCTTGCAAATAGAATTTTTATGCTTCTTCCAATTGTGTACTTTTTATTTCTTTTGGGGCCTGGGACTTGGGGTGGCATTTATTTGGATTATAGTCAATACCCTGTAGGATACTTGTGCTTGCCATGTGACAGGGCTTTCATGTGAGCGTCACTTCGTTTCATCTTGACGGTGGTTAAAGACGTGTTTTTTCATTGGAGGTGAGTTTTGTTAATTTTATCCATTTAAACAGTTTCCTCTTTGACCATTTGTCTTTATAAGTCACGCGCTTTCTGTGTACTTTCGATAGGGTTGTTTCTTTCGATTTCGGTTTGGTCAATTTCTTACATTTTGCTTGCACGTGTGCGTGGTCGAATTCACAGCTTTCTTCGATTCGAATTTCTTTCTTTTGCTTTGGCTAAGTTCAAACCTTAGATCCAATTTTGATGCCCCTGCTGCCGAACATTTTAACCTTTTGGGTGACGCCGTGATTCACTTGTATGGCGTGGGCGGTCGTACTGTGAAGAAACTTCGCCTTGACGACCTTGGTGTTGTTTCTGCCTTAACACCTGACGTTATTATTCTTGAAATAGGCACTGATCTTGTTGCTAACCGTCCCGAGGTCGTCGGTTCTGAGATCGATGATTTGGTTCAATTGCTGCTCCAATCTTACTCTGTACGAGTCATCGGTGTTTGCGAGGTGATACCTCGTGTTCGAGCGCCGTTTTTCAACGCGGCGGCACCGATCCTCAACCAATATCTCACTGATCTTCTAGAGCTTTGTTCCAACGTTTTTTCCTGGCGCCATACGGGCTTTAGTTATCCCACCGTCAGTCCTTACTTGCCCGATGGCGTTCACTAAAACCCTCAAGGCCAGTATTCTCTTTATCGAAGATATCGGGGAGCTGTCTTGAAGGCCCTTCGCTCGCTTTGATTTTCTCACCTTGGCGGCTTTCTTTTTCTGGTATTGTTTTATAAGGCCCTGGTGCTGGATTTTATTAACCTTGATTTTTAGCCCTTGTTGCTAAAAAGTTTTGTAATTTTAAGCCCTTGTTGCTCTGGTTTATTTTAATTTTATTTTATTGGGGCCCGTGTTGCTCATGTTTCATTTTACTTGGAGCCGTTGTTGCTCTTGTTTTTTTTCATTTTGAATTAGAGCCCTGGTTGCTCTGGTTTTATTTTTTGGGGCGCCCCATTGCTACTGTTTATTTTGAATTAGAGCCCTTATTGCTCTGGTTTTATTTTCTTTGGGGCCCTTGTTGCTCATATTTATTTTGAATTAGAGCCCTTGTTGCTCTGGTCCAGGCTATTGCGGCGACACTGGGTCAGCCATGCCTGTTACTAAAAAATATTATTTACTGTATTTTGAATCTTCAGTGTTAGTTCTAGGTGCTTGTTGTTGTTTCCTTGTTTTCCGTAGATGCCTCCTCGTCGTTCACAGCGATCCAAGCGGCCATCCTGCTCAGGCCTTGGAGGCTTTGGTCTCCTCTCCTCCGCAGCGTGTCTCGTCATCCTCAACCCAGCAACCCTCCCTTCTACATGAATCCTTGGCAGCACAACCTGTGTCACGACCAGCAACCTTGTGCCCTGTGCAATCCCAGCAACCTCCTGCAGCACCAGCAACAGACCAGCCCGCCGTTTTAACCTCACCTGTAATGGATCAGCTGGTGTCGCGGGTAACAGATGAAGTGACCAAGCGGTTGCAGCCATTGCTTTCAAATTTAAGCTCAATGGCCCAGCAAGCACAATGTCCCCCCTCCACATCATCTCAAGCACCTGCCGTGTCACTCCCTGTGGAACAGTCCACTCCTTTACAGTCTTCTGGATCCAACATCCAACAAGTCCAAGGACATGCTGCCATCCAAGATACAGTCGAGGTACCAGCTGTTCACGATGGCGTCCAGTCAGTTCTAGCCTCCCTGTCAGGTGAGCAGACTTNCCTCACCTGTAATGGATCAGCTGGTGTCGCGGGTAACAGATGAAGTGACCAAGCGGTTGCAGCCATTGCTTTCAAATTTAAGCTCAATGGCCCAGCAAGCACAATGTCCCCCCTCCACATCATCTCAAGCACCTGCCGTGTCACTCCCTGTGGAACAGTCCACTCCTTTACAGTCTTCTGGATCCAACATCCAACAAGTCCAAGGACATGCTGCCATCCAAGATACAGTCGAGGTACCAGCTGTTCACGATGGCGTCCAGTCAGTTCTAGCCTCCCTGTCAGGTGAGCAGACTTTGCTGCCTGGAACACAGAGTCCCAATGATGTTTTCATGTCTGTAAACCTACCAATTGACGCACGGGTTCCAGCTAAGATTTGGAGCAAAATCATTCAAAATGAATTTGTCGATTTTGGCTCCCTTCTTGTTAATCCAGCTTTTGAGGACAAATTTCGTATCACACTCCAACCCTTCCAGGAAGGCTCTTCTCCATCCTTAGCTCTTGAGCCAGTAAACAAAGCTAAACGTATTACATCAATAGATGTTTGGCTCCAAGCTTTTCACGTGTATGTGGGTATTTTTACTGCACGCTATCCCCATGAGTCTCCCGGCCTCATGAAGTATGGGGCTACTATTCAGGATTTGGCTGCTAGGGGGCATAATTGGCGTTATTCGATGAAAACTTCCGTTTTCTGCGCCAGTCTCAGGTCATCTCTCTTCCCTGGGGGACTATACATTGGGAATTGTGGTTGAAGTCTCAGATTAATGCCAACAAATCTATTCCAGCAACCGGCGTTGCTAAGAACCTTGATGTCCCTCGGGGTTATTGCCTCAATTTTCATAAAGGGGGTTATTGCTCAGGATGCTCTTTTAAGCACTCATGTGCTAAATGTGATGGCCCACATCGGGCTATAAATTGTAATTTTCGTGCCTTTAGCAAAGGAAATGCTTCCAACTCGTCCAATCAACGCAGCAATAAAACCCCTAGCAGCCGGATCATTCCCCAACCTACTTCCACGGGAGCTTCCAACACCCGTAAACAGTGATCGTTTGCAATTTTTTCTTTCTGGGTATATCCCTTCCGTAGTAGAGCTTTTATCCAATGGCTTTAATTATGGCTTTCCCTTGCACTACGAGTGTACGGTCACATGCTTTGGCGTTTTCAGTGCCCTCACCTTTACTGGGCCAAACTTTGTGTCAAGGATTTGATTGAACAGTATTTTCAAATAAATGCGGCTATGGGATTTTGCCCAGAGCCGTTTACTCCATTTGTTGCTTGGTTCTATTTTTGTCCAGTAAACATAGCTCAGGCAAGGCAGCATTTTTGGGTTGTGCTTATAATTTAGAAGGGAGAAAAGGCATAAACATCTGATTAGCCTCGTTTCTTCGGTCCGTACAGTAAATTACGGAAAAGTTAAAATTAAAACAAAAAACACGAGGAACGGAAAAAAACCAGGAATTTAATTTTCACATGACAACTCAGAGTACCAGCAATGTCAAAAAATGAGAGTTATTAGAACAAAGGATGGCAATAGTGATAATAGACATCCCCATGTTTAGGGTTATAATTTTTGAGCCCGAATCTTCCTCTTTAATTATAAACACTAATACTTTCAATTTTCCCCATGACGTCATAAAATGTTCAAAACTCAAGTGGAACCAAGAGCCGCAGGCGAGTGGTTCTCACTGCCAAGTTTTTATGCCGTCATTTCTATGGTCTGTGAGTGTAGACCATGGAAAAGTGTGTACGATTTGTTTTTTACAACATGTATTTTTACTTTCCTGCAAGGTATTTTTACTTTCCTGCAAGGTTTCTTTCACTTATGTTGAGGACGTGAACCATGGCGGACGGACGTGAACCTTCTGGTCCCGTTTTGACGAAAGATACCGAGTCTTACCAGCTTAACCTTAAATGGTGCGAATTACAATCCCTTAAGCTAAACGGGGAACGATTAACGTGGACGAATAACCTTGAATCGTTAAAGAATTTTGTGGAAAATGGCTTGAAACTACAAGGAAAGTGGTCGTCGCCCGGAGGAAACGTAAAGCAATTCAAAAGTTCTAACAATAATCTTGTCATCAACTGGTATAATAAGAAACAGCTAACCCTTTGTTTCCAAGGTCGAGATGGTCCCTCCTTAAAGGACAAGTTGGTCAAGTTTATTCAAAATAAACAGGGAACAGAAGCTGATACGCCTGTCTCGTATGCTTCAACAACCGAGCAAGAAATTCCGCCTTCGCAAGAAGCCAATGGCATCTGCAGTAATCGACTAGCTTCGGCCGCCGACGCCGAACTTGAGAACAGTATTCAAGAGCGATCGAACTCGGTTATCAGTGCTGATATTGAGGGCTTAAAACTGGATTTACTAATTCTTCAGAAAAAGGTTGAAGCAAATACAAGCCTTCTGTCGACGAAATGCAAATTACAAGAAACCGCTTTTAGCGCCGAGCTCCTCGATTACAAAGAGAGGTATGAGAAGGTGTTATCGACATTATCTAAAAAAGATAATGAAATTGAGGTGTTGGAGGAAAAGTGTTTTTCCTATGAGAGCCAAGTTTTGTCCTTGCAACAAGAAAATGATTCTCTTAAGCTGGCAATGAAGATCATTATGCAAGAAAGAAGCGAGGGCGAATGCCGCCAACAAAAGATATGTGATTGTTGGTCCCAAGTGGGCACACTTGGGAAAAGTGTGAATGATAAACATATCCAACGGCCGTTGGCGGCCTGCAATATAGTAACTCAGAACAGATTTGAGCCCCTTAGAAGTGAGGTACAATTCCAAGTGAGAAATGAGGACAACTATACTGCAAATAACGAAGAAAGTCGCCAACAACAGCAACAGCAACATTCACATGTTGATTCATCTGAAGCGAGCCGGGCATTTGATTCAATTCCAACTAGTCATAACCGCTATCAGGCCTTACTTGTCTCTTCTCCTTCGAGTCAAGTATCCTCTGAGATGCCACTGCATCAGTCTGGAGCGCACGCAAATACCTCTCGAGTTAGTGCAAATAACTCCAAAAGCGGTGAAGTCGGAAAGACAAGACCCATAGTGCTTATTGGTGACTCAATGATAAAACACATTGATCCAAAAAAGCTTTCGCAAAGACATGTACATAAATTCTCATATCCCGGGAAAACCACTGCTGAAATAGCTGAAGCTGTTGACAACATCGCTGTTGCATCCGCGGATCCTTCTCACGTCATCATCCATACTGGCACCAACAATCTTCCGTCGGAGTCTGCCGATTCATGTGTCGCCGATATCAAGAGCCTTGTATTGAAGGTGAAGAGCAAGTTTCCTAACTCAAGCATTGGTCTCTCGGGTATAGTCTACAGAGAAGATATCAACGTCGATGCTAAACGCATTGAAGTTAATGAGAGGGTCAAGCTCACAGCAGTAGATAATAACTTTACTTATATTGATAATTCGGTTATTGACGCCTCAGCATTAAATGGTAGTAGACTTCATCTGAATGCCAAAGGTTCGTCATTGCTGGCCGTGCAATTTATTAAGTTTTTAAGATCTGGTTCTGGCAAGTATAATCAGTCTCTTAAGGGTTTTCAGTCCTCAGCTATCCAACAACTGGTAAAGCTTCTGATGGAACTGGGAAACCTTCCCTCTCCAGCTCGCAACAGGAGACGCCCACGCTAGCTTCTCAACCGAGTGACGTATCATCAGGTATTCCTAATCAAAACGTTGATTCATTTGAAAGTACAATTCTCTCTGATTTTCTTCCTTCTGGTCGTGGTTTTAAAATTGCAGGTTTAAACATTAATAGTCTTACAAAGCATATTGATGAACTAAGAATTCTCCTTGCCGATCGCTCCATTGATATTCTCTCAATTAATGAAACTAAACTTGATGACTCTATCAATAGTTGTGAGGTCCAAATACCAGGCTATGAATTTATTCGTCGTGATAGAAACAGACAAGGAGGAGGAGTAGGTTTTTATATAAAAACCTCGATTAATTTTGGAGTTCGCTCTGATTTGAATGCACCCAGTCTTGAAAATTTATGTATAGAGATTCGGAAACCAAACTCCAGGCCATTTCTGATAGCCACTTGGTACAGACCTCCTTGCTCCTCAATTGATTTATTTTTACCTTACGAATCATTTCTTGAGAAATTAGATTCCCTCGGCCTAGAATATTATCTGCTAGGTGATTTAAACTGTAACCTGGCCTCTGCACAATATGATTTAAATACTCGACGCTTATGTGAAATTTCTGATTTATTTGGGCTTCAACAGCTTATAACTGAACCTACTCGCATAACGGAATCCTCTTCAACATTAATTGATTTAATTTATACAAACTATACTGACAGGGTAGTCTGTTCCGGAGTCTCTCATATTGGTATCAGCGATCATAGCCTTATTTACGTTTATAGGAAATTATCTCTCACTTTTCCTTCAAAAGGGCACTCAACCATTTCTTATAGAAATTTCCAAAATTTTAATAGAGAGAGTTTTCGGAACGATATCGCCCAGCAAGACTGGTCCTGTAATGTTTCTGAAGATCCAAATGTTTTGTGGACTAACTGGAAAACGAAGTTTTTGGATATTGTTAATATTCATGCGCCACTCCGAACTAGACGTACTAGAACAAATAAAGCACCCTGGATCAATTCAGAATTAAAGAAAGGCATGCGTGATCGTGATGCTGCCAAAAGAAAAGCAATTACATCGAATGATCCACACGATTGGAAAAGGTACAAAAAGTTGCGAAATATAATAAACAATGACATCAAAATTTCTAAAGCATCTTATTATTCTAATGCATTTATTCAATCTAAGGGTAATCCTCGAAAAACGTGGCAAACCTTTAATGAGCTTACATCCCGTCGTGTGAATAATACAACGGTGAAGGAACTGAAATTGAATGATACCATTATCTCTAATTCTAGTGAGCTTTCTGATGCTTTTAATGACCATTTTTCAACAATTGGGCCCAGACTTGCTAAT